TTACTTCTGATTAAGTGTCTCAAACATGGAACACGATGCGATGGAGCACCTGGCTTCTCGGCTATTTTGTAAAGCTGGCTGGAGCCCTCTACCTTGGAATATTGGACTTCTCTGCCCTTAAAGTGCTGGATTAGGTCTTTAAGGCTCTTTAGCTCTAAAATCTATTACTCACTTATATCTCTTAATTCATATGTTTAAATAACGTACGTTTCAATATTGAGAAATAGCTGATTTTTCAACTCTGTGAGTTGAGTCTCTTTTTAAACATCTGCTGCTGAGCTGATCTGAATGATCTTCACCCAGTCGGCCTGGTTCGCCTCCATCCCTCTTCTGCTATTTTCTGTTCTCTTTCCCTACTCAGGCTGGCAGGCATGCAGTGTCCTCCACCTGCAGGAATCTACCCCAAAGATGCTCTCTCAGAGCATCCCCTTCTGGACCCAGCTTGGTTCCAGATCTCATGCCCCAAGCTAAGAATTGGCCCAACCCCTTTTCTCTAGTACATGACTTTATAAACTTATCAGGCCCAGGTGACACTCCTTCAGCACTCAGACAAGTAGCATGGTGTTAATGGACAATAATGGTTTGAAGTAGCCTTCCTTCAACCCAAGTTTCTGGGGCTTTGAATGGCTGTTACTGTTCTAGGAATGGGGAGGGCTTTGGGCCATCCTGGCTTTCAGAATCCCAGGATCGTGCTCCAATAATGGCCACTTACTCTGCCTCTAATTCCTGCCTACAGGGATAAAGAAGAGTTGGAGCAAGTGCAGAATAATAATTCCTATTAAAAGCAACATGGAGAGATGGGTTCTGGGAGGCTGTAAAAATACCTTGAAGGTAGACATGCTCTACCTTCAAGCACTTATAGTCTGGTTGGGAAGATAAGACATAGGTTAGACAGAGCTAGAGATATGCAGCAGTTACCCAATGACCATAGGCAGTGCTATGACAAGTGGACAGGCAATGCTGAAGGAGGGGAGGACCCTTTTGACCTGCAGAGTCAGGGAGGGTACCACACGGGGAAGGACTGGAGTTCTTAGGTGGAGTTCAGCTACAGAGGAGAGAAAACAAGGACCCTGAGGAGGCATAGCCTCAAATTAGAACCGATATTTTAACTGCACAATTTCTGAATCTCGACTTCCGGTCCCCAGTTCAGATTTAAGTTTGGAACATTTATCAGCTATATCCTTCTCTAAATCTCCTCACTGTTTTGCCTGACTAGCTCCCGCTAGATTCCTGCCATTCTGGAAGTAAGGAGGTTGACTCTCCCCCAGATATAAACGCCTGCCCCGGATCAGTGCAGTAGCAGAAGGCGGCATCAGTTATGTATGTCTGCAGTCTTCTGCTGAAAGACATCTTTCAGGGTGAATATAACCTGGGGGAAAATTTTCCTCCTGCTGGATAAAAGACTCACCGAACATTTTCTGAGACTCCTCATGAGACTTTTCTCCTTGGCTGTCGGCTTGGATTTCCCTTTTTAATCATTTCAAACCTATGTATATGAAGGCTATACTAATAATGAGTAATAACAAACTGGCCCATAAAGGAAGTAATGGAAAGCAAGAGGCTGGCATAATCCAGGAACTATTTTTCTGGTCACTGAGAGTTGCCTATATAAGAAAATGAATAATTCTTTCCTTTTTTGTGAAGCTGTGGCTTTTTCAGCTGGTCAAAGCTGCAAGAGTTCAGTTCACACTCGTTGAAGGGACACTTTCTGAACTTCTTCCTCCTACTGAACTTCTTCCTCCCACATGCTCTTGCCTGATGTGAAACCCCTTGTAGGGTCAGGCACGTAGGCACTCAAGGGACATTTGTTGGATGAACTAGTGAAATTAACTTAGGTGCTGGATAACTGTGACGGGGTCAGTCTTTTTATCTTCCAGTTTCATAGTTCCCATATAGTTAATTACTTGAATCTATGACTAGTTTTAGAGGCTTAAACATCTTTATAATATATGCTCTGTCCTCACATGTTTCCATACTGTACAAATAAAATGCATACAAACAGAGCAGCTCTGTTTCTTGGTTGAAAACAAGCTGCTTTTGATACTAATTATTATATATAAAATAGATGAACAACAAAATTCTACTGGATAGCATAGGGAACTATATTCAATATTTTGTAGTAACCCATAATGAAAAAATACGAAAAGGACTAAATGTATATATATGTATGACTAAAACATTGTACTGTACACCAGAAACTGATACAACACTGTAAACTAACTATACTTCAATTAAAAAAACATTTATCAAATTAAAAAAAAGGAAAACAAGCTGCTTTCAAGTCTAGGTCTCCAAGGCCTCATTAAACTGAAAAACAACTGCTTAGTTATTTTTCAACTAGCTAGAAAAGCCATAAAATATTTCATGCTCTGTACCTGTTGCATTTTTGTGATAAGAGAGAAGAGATAAAACTCAGACATTCTCAGCAGGTTTTTGGCATATGAACACTTTTTCATTAAAAAACAGCTTATCTCTAAGGCATTGCAACACTTTCTGATGTTACACTCAGATCTGGAGTGTCATGTTCCTTTCATGAACTCAGAAGTACCTGCTCCTACTTGCCGAGGCAGAACTAGGGGTTTCTGGGCTCTGTAAGTAGTCTAAGAGTTGGGCTTGGCTTTCCACACCCGCCCAGGTTTGCAAAGCAGGACCACGGAGAAACAATTCCTCTCTGATCCTGTGGGCAGAACGATCTAACTTCCAATAAATTAATCTCCCTGTATTATTCAGGGTTACAGAGGGACATGAAAAAAATAAAAGGCAAAGTCCGACTCTCAGTGTGCTTAGTAGAGGGCATGGCCATAACACTCAGAGTACGTGAACTTGGTCTAAGGCAGTGGGAGCCAAGGAGGACTGAATCCCTTTTGGTGCCTTGCTCTGGACATCTGCAGACATGCACTGTGCTGTTTACAGCTTGCTCTGTGCCCACACCATTTTCCAGCCTTTACTGTATAGCTTTGACTTTATACTCAGCTAAGGCTTGTCTTAGTTGGTTACGTGTGTTAACTGAGTTCCATCTGTCCTCCTACCCCATCCTCCCCACCCTGCCCAGGAGGCTGACCTGCAGGGACTGCCCTTGTAGGGCTCCCTAGGTCTCTGGCTTTCTAAAGGGTTCAGTCCATGGAGAAACCTGGCTGGAGCTGAGAGGTCAGGATGCTCATCACCCCAGCTCCCTTCCTTGGAGGTCACTGATGACTACCGCCCAGGCAGGTGGCCTCACCTTTCTTTTTGTCTTTGGGCTCCGTAAACAGCTCCCTTTAGGCCTATAGTTGACAAAGGCCCTCCCTGGTGCATTAGCCCCAAGTTACTTTCTACCCCTCGTGGTTTACATGTTCACACTTAATAATAAGTGTGAACAAATACACCTCAATTTTCATTTTGGAGTGTGCCATCACTTTGCGTTTGGGAGCCTGACGGATCAGGGTGCTCTAACGGAACATGGTGCTGACTTGCAGTCTTCTGTCCCCTCAGCTGTCCGCGACTGCCCTCAGAGAAGGGGGCGGCTCACAGGGCTCCCTCACCTGTGGGTAACCCCAGGTACGTCGCTCCCTCCCTGCCAGCTCTGTCTCCCCCAAATGGTGTAGGCTAAACGTTGTCCTAGGCCCTCTTGAGTCTAGCATGAGATTCTCCTGGCCTATACTTTCTGAGTTCTGCGTTTTCTAACGAGTTGTGGAGGGTGGCGCGGACAGACTTACAGATTGTGTTGGCGCCATTTCAGTGTCCACCAGCAGCCACGAGAAGGTGGGCACCGTTTCCTGCGGCAGTGATGCTTCTGGGGATGGGTTCAGAGGCGCAACAACGCCGCCGCACACCAGGGCCGCGGCATGGGCGCCGCCCT